CCTCCTGTGGGTGGCTGTGGGCAGGGCCCTCCTGGCATGGGGCCTGAGTGTCCCTGGTGCCCTCGCCATCCGGAGCGATGTTCAGCTCCGAGAGGCCTCAGCTGTGGACAAGGGAGCCCAGGCGGGAAGAAGAGGCCTCACAGCTGCCTTCCCCTTTTCAGGTGCCTGCTCTGGGAGAGGGGCGGCAGCGAGGGAGACATGGCCCAGAGGCTGCTGTCTGCCCGGGCTCAGGTGAGTGAAGGGGTGAAGCCCAGCTAGGAAGCAGAGGGGGTGGATTCTGTCTAGGATGTGTTTGGGTCTCCTCGGGGACAGCTCTGCTTGGAAGTCCACCACTTCACAGTGAAGTTGTTTTCTGTAGGGACTGAGTGAGGCTCCGGTATGGTTTGTGCCACTGGAGGCGTCACTAATTGTTAACAGTAGGGATTTCTAGATGAATGGTCTCTGCCCTCAAGGAGCTGAGGACCCATCAATGGACAGGAGCGCGGGTGTTGTTGGAGGTGTGTCCCAGGTCCTCCCAGCTGTGCCAAACTCCGGGAATGCTGAAAGCCCCTCTGCAAAATGGCATAGTGTCTGCGTGTGGCCCATGCACATCTGCCCTGTGTTAGAAATCATTTCTAGGTTGCTTTTGATCATGCCCTATAATAGACTGGTTTGAAGTACAAGTGACCAGGGGAGGAGGGTTCAGGTGAGAAGTGATGAACTGCCAAATGCCAGTCAACATCCAGGAAGGATCATGAAACTTTTTGTCCTTGGTTAATTAACTTTGGACATCTGGTCCAGGTGTTCCTGCAAATCCTCATTTCTGTGTGTACCACCTCCTCTCTTTCTGGCAAGCACGCTTGTAGGAAGGACCACACGCTAAGGTAGCCCAGGAGATGGCAAAGGCAGAAGTGCCAAGCTTTTTCACCTGTTTCAGTGCGCTACTGTCACTGGTTCAGTCCTAATGGTATGGGATTAGAGACAGAGACGCCATCTCTCACTGACTGCGCCCTGCTCGATAGGGTTTGGGGAGGGCTGGTTGTGGTTAAACCGTTCGACCTGATTTAGACACTGTTCTTCATCGCATCTCCTGGGCATTAGACAGGCTAGGGGACTACCTCTCCACAAGTATCTCCTTACTCATTCTGGTGGCCTCTGGATAGGCAGGGTACGGAGGTGTTAAGTATCACATCATTTAAGAAGGAAAGCAGTGAGGCCCAATGCAGCATTTCCCCCAGGAGCCAGAGAATTCCACAAAGAACCCAGAGAGGAGGCCGTCTGAGCAGTCTGCCCAGTGTGATGGCTTCAAGGACTTGTGGTCACCAGGTGGCTTATCGCCTGATTTATAAACATGGCTCTGTTTCTGAGGGACAGGAGCGTGTCGTTATCGTGCGGACTTTACCTGTTCTGCAGCTGTGCCATCCCAAGACCTCCATAAACCAGCAAGGGCAGTTTTCTTGGCAACAATTCCTAACAAGCCTCAGATTCTGCAGTATTCACACTGATGTGTGGCTGCACTCCACAAGGAACTAAACATCTGCTCCAGTGAGCAGTTTAGGGGAGCTAGTGTGATAAGCAGTCTTGGATTAATGATGACTTGAGCCTGGAGTTGTGAGCACCCCAACAGGCACTGTCCCTCCTCTGTTTTTGTTCCTTAGACAGTTCTAGGCTTAGGATACACCTTCCTGGAGGCACACAGAGGTGCTTCCTGGGCCGCATGGCACAGGTGCACTAGAAGAGAACATCTGCAGGGCTGGCCTGTCCAGTGTGGAGCAGCGCTGGTCTGACAGATAGGTCCTAGGTCCCTATGCCTCATAGATTAGTTTCTAGAATTGACAGCACCGCTAACTGAGAAAGGGGTGGGAAGTCTCTCTCTGGAACGTGACAAAGAAAAGCCGGAGGCTTCTGGATCTCATTCAATAACAGTACCAGTCAAACCCGACTGGCCGCCATCAGTGGGTTTTCTAAGTGTTGTTTTAAGCAAGCGTGAAGGCCATGTGTAGGGTGAATGAAGGCATACCCATGATTGTGAACAGATGTGACTTGGCGTGACACATCCAGCGGTGAGATCAGCAGAAGAGTCTGGATTGAACAGTTCCCATGAGGGGAGTGAATCATCAGAAGGAAGATCTTCCTCTCCGTCTCTCCTCCCTATATATCTGATTTTGCAATCCAAGTAAATAAATCTTAAAAAAAAAAAAAAAGTGGAAAAGCTGGGACTTGAGTGCTGCTGGCCTCTCTGTTAGTGTCAGTTAGGCTCTCCTGCCCCCATCCAGGGTGTATGTCTACAGACGCTAGTACGTATCAAAAATTTGCTGCTGTTCCAGGCCTTTGAGTGAAATCAATCTGCCCATCTTTTCCTTTTCTTTTCCCTTCTTTTCAGTTTTTTTTTTAAAGATTTATTTATTTTTAGTGGAAAGGCAAATTTGCAGAGAAGGAGAAACAGAGGGAAAGACCTTGGGTTTGCTGGTTTACTCTCCAAGTGGCTGCAACGGCCAGAGCTGAGCCAATCTGAAGCCAGGAGCTTCTGCCAGGTCTCCTACGCAGGTGCAGGGTCCCAAGGCCTTGGGCCGTCCTTGACTGCTTTTCAAGGCCCCGGGCAGGAAGCTGGATGGGAAGAGGAGAATCCAGGACACCAACTTGCTCCCATATGGCATCCCAGTGCATATAAGACGAGAACATTAGCTACTAGGCTACCGCACCAGGCCCTAACCTGCCAATCTTAAGGAGGGTGAAAACTCTGGTGTTAAACATCACTGGGGGCTGGCATGGGACTTTGGAAGACCCGCTGAATAGTGTTTGTAAGTTGAGTCCAGTGACGTATCTGGTACTCTGCAAAGGGGCATCTGGCCTATATTGGGTACTACCATGAATGTGTTGTCACACAGCTCCTGGTGTCAGGACAATTCCTTGTCCATTGCTTTTGTAACCCAAGGAAGTTTGTTTGGAACTAAAACCCAATTCCTTAGCTCTCTCTCTGTGCTCTGAATATACTGGTTGATACCTGGATGGTTCAGTGTGAGGGATAAGGGACCCCAGTATGGGCTGACGGTCTCTCCTCCCAGCTGTCCCATCACAGCATGTCAGGGCCACTCCCCTCTGATGACCTGGCAGCACATTCCAGCTGCCTGGAGAGCTTTACCAATAGCTTGCAAGAGTTGTGGGATTTCATGGGCACATTTGATGATCTCATTTCCTGTGTGAAGGGCCTTCACTCCCTCATTGCCAGTTGGGCCTGAACACCAGCAAAGCAAAGCTGAAGTAGCTGCAGCTGTTCTGCCAGATGACACCGATTTCTGCCTTTTGTGCCTATTCCCCAGCAGTGGAGCCCTGACCTTGAGGGGCTCTACCATAAACTTACCACTGTATTTCCAGCACACAGCTGACCTTGCTCCACGAAACTGCTTCTGTGTCTGCAGTTCCAGGTCTGACCTGAGCAAGGGCTTGTTCATGAGATCATGTTGGCTGGCCCAGTTATAGGTGGGCATGTTCTGGTAACTGGGCTGGTTGAGGGGAGGGAGCCAGATAGCAGGATTCAGAGCCGAAGTGACTTAAGCTGACATTGGGATCTAGGTAAGTTTTCAGCCTCTTGGAAAATGTTGCAAGTGATGGCTGTAGCTCAAGATGAGGTGGCCATCCTTGTACTGTCTTGGTGTGCTCCTAGTCCCCTTCCCCGCCACTCGTGTCATAAAAACAGCAGTGGTATTGTATGTTGGGGGGTGAAATCAAAGTCTGTTTTCTTTGATGGTCTCCAGTGCCTGCTGGTATGCCTTAGATCACATAAGGGGCCCTGGCTCCTTTCCTTCTAAGTGCTCATATAAAAGCTTGACAATGAGTTGGAAAGTTGGACTCTAAATTCTATAAAATGCTGCTTCTGTGTGGGACTGGGGTGTTGAGATAGGCTGTGCTTTCACTCGGTGGGGCAGGGACTTAGTCACCCTGGAGAGAGTTGCCCCTGACCAGTTGTTGGTGGACCTGAGCATCTTCCTGAGAAAGCCTGTAGCCTCTGTGTGCCAGGTGAGTTAGAACTGCCATGATTTTGGAGACCTGTATCACAGGTGGAACTCAGTGCGTGCACAAGCCTGCCTTCACAGCATGGCTCTGAGTTCTTGTACCGCTGTCTCCCTGAATGGGGAAGGGAGAGATTTTTAAACCTTTGAGATACAACTACTGAGACACTGCGAGGCTGCCTGATTCAGGGACTGTGCCTTTCAAGAGAGGAGAGACCTTGGGAGTTTTCCACTGAAGGGATAGAAAAGAAGTATCCTTTGAATCCAGGACAGAAAATCAGTCTGAATGGCAGTAAATGGAATGTATGGGTGAGCCCCTTGGGCATTAATCCTGAACTGTCTCACTGATATTTCCAGGGCCAACAGAAAATAGCCTTCAGCCAAGTTAGGCATTTTTCACTGGGAAAATAGGGCTATCATAAGGAGATTGGCATGGCTTGTTTGTAAAAGATTTTTAACAGTTCTTTGAATCTTTTCTTGGTCTCTCTCATCTAATTTTTTAAAACATTTTTATTTGAAAGGCAGATTTACAGAGAAAAAGACAGAAAAATCTTGGATGCACTGTTTCACCCCCCAAATGGCTGCAAAACCAGAGCTGAGTTGATCTGAAGTCAGGAGCTAGGAGCTTCTTCTGGGTCTCCCTATGTTAGCAGGGGTCCAAGCACTTGAGCCATTCTTCACCACTATCCCAGACCATAAGCAAGCAGCTAGATCAGAAGTGGATTAACCAGGACACAAGTCTGCCCCCATATGGGATTCCGCATTTGGAGGTGGAGGATTAACCAGTTGCGGCAACATGACGGCCCCGTGGGTCTCATGTTTTAGTTGACGTTGTGTTAAACTAGGGCTCTCACATCTCTCTTGAGGATAATATCTAGCAGCTGTTTTGTGTGTGTGTGTGTGTGTGTGTGTGTGTTTCTTATCCTGGGCCCTGTCTGCCAAGTCTCTGGCCTTAGACGACAGGCCCTCCTACTTGAGCACGCACTGCTTCTGTTACAAAAACACCTAGTTGTGCTTGCTTCGGCAGCACATATACTAAAATTGGAATGATACAGAGAAGATTAGCATGGCCCCTGCACAAAAACACCTAGTTTCCCTTCTGGGAAAGAGAACATTTAGTCCAGTAGAACAGGGCAGGTCATATTGGAACCCACATCAGTGTCCCTGTACAGAGAGGGGTTTGGAAATTATGGAGTTAGGGTCATTGGGGCAGAATCAATGAAATAAAGCGAAAGGACATGATGGGAATAGAGGAGCCTCTCTTGAACACGTGCCTTGAGAAATCATGTCCACATAGATTATATGTTCAAAGATGGCTGCAGGAATGCCAGTGGAGGCATGTGTTTGACTTGAGCCACCAGGTAGCTCTCATCTGAATGGGTTTGCAAGCTGGCTGCAGCTGGTTCTGTGCAGTTTATCTGGGACTCTGGACAGACAGGTCAGCTGATTTTTTTTTTTTCTTGCCCACAGCAACTATTATAGGATTGCAAGTTACAAGTTACTGAGTGACAGATAGGCAAAGAACATTATGAACTGTTGATATGTTGGCTAGCGATAGGAAGTTTGCTATTAAGCAAGGGGACAGGAATCCTTTGTTGGTCATAGTTTTATCTCTGTCTAGTGCTCACATAAGGACCTTCTGCAAGTTCAATGTCATGTTGGAAAAAAAATTTGCTTGAGTATTTAATTTGCATAAGAGGTCTTAGCATCAAAGAGGGATATGGAATTCTGACATATTTGAGAAAATTGCATTGTAGGAATTGAAGATGGGCTGCTTTGGTGTGCCCCAAGACCCCGCAGAGGACATGATAGACTGTTCAGTCTTGTAAGCATGTCTAGAGTCTACCCTGAGTAGGTGGCTCCAGTGTTCCCAGTGTGAAGGCACAGGTGCCAGGCTTTTTCACCCTGGTTCAGTGGATGATTAGAGATTCACGAGGTAGGGCCACATTTGTACCACTGGTGGGTGGAAGTCATGCAGGAGACAGTGAAGTGTGGGTGCTGGAAGGAGGATAGACGTGAAGGAGAACCTTCTGCAGTGGAGGCCTCCTGGCCCTTCCCTATCTTTTCAAGGCACTCACAACCTGTCATGGGTGGTGTCTCTTGACCCAGAAGACCTCTTCACAAAGGAGGGAGAAAAGGGGACTGCTTCTGTCATTGAAGCTGAGTGATGACCATCACAGGCGTTCTGTTCTGTCTTGGGTTTTGCAGTTTGAGTCACCTGATAGATTAGACCCATCACCTCCCGGGAATCTGGGAATTTCATTGTTATTTCTGAAGATAAACTTTGGAAGATGAAACTGTTAAAGCATTTGTGTGAACAGCTATTTACTGCAAGTAGTTGAGGACTCTGCTCGGGGGGCCTGGAGGGGAAGGTTTTGATACTGTGAAGACAGAAGGAGGGTAAAGGCATTGTTTGTTAAATTCTGAACTGCCCCTGTGAGATGCTCCTGACAATGTCATCAATACCTGGATGGTGCTTGTGATCAGCTAAGCTGATTTCACTTTGTTGGGACCCACGTCGTGGCCACAGCAGTCTGTTGGCCTGAGAGTCTTCCTCAGTGGTCCCCTTCAGAGGACCTGAAGTTCCCTTCAGAATGCCCCTGAGTTGTGAGACTGCCAAATGAATTATTCAAACTTATTCAGCAATTAAAAACATTTAGGAGGCAGCAGCTGGTGCTGTGGCACATCAGACTAGCCTGTGACATCAGCATCAAGTCCGATTGTTCCACTTCTAATCTGGTTTTCTTCTGATTTGCCTGGGAAAACAGCAAAAAGAGGGTCCCAAGTACTTGGCCTCAAGTAATGGCCACCCATCTGGAGACCTGAATGGAGAGCCTTACTGCTGACTTTGGCCATTTCGGAGTGGCCGTTGTGGCCACCTGGGAGTGAAGCCCCAGTGGAAGGTTGTCTTTCTTCCTCTCTGTCTCCCTCTATCTCTGTAACTCAGCCTTTCAAATAAATAAATCTTTTTTTAAAAATTGGGCCAGGTATGATTACTTAGTAATTATATCCTCTCTCTCTCTCTCTCTTTTTTTTTTTTTTTTTGGTTCAGTCCCTGATTGGTCTTTTTTTTTTATTTCATTGCATTATGTGACACTGTTTTTTAGGCACTGGATTCGTCCTCCCCCTCCCCTCCCCTCCCCTCCCCTCCCCTCCCCTTCCCCTCCTCTGCCCTTCCCTCCCCTCTCCCTCCCCTCCTCTCTCCCTTTCCTCCCCCTCCCCTCCCCTTCCCCTCCCTCCCCTCCCCTCCCCTTCCCCTCCTTTGCCCTTCCCTCCCCTCTCCCTTCCCTCCCCCTCCCCTCCCCTTCCCCTCCCCTCCCCCTCCCCTCCCCTTCCCCTCCCCTCTCCCTCCCCTCCCCTCCCCTTCCCTCCCCTCTCCCTCCACTCCCCTCTCCCTTTCCTCCCCCTCCCCTCCCCTTCCCCTCCCTCCCCTCCCCTTCCCCTTCTTTGCCCTTCCCTCCCCTCTCCCTTCCCTCCCCCTCCCCTCCCCTTCCCCTCCCCTCCCCTCCCCTCCCCCTCTCCCTTCCCTCCCCCTCCCCTCCCCTTCCCCTCCCCTCTCCCTCCCCTCCCCTCCCCTTCCCCTCCTTTGCCCTTCCCTCCCCCTCCCCTCCCCTTCCCCCTCCCCTCCCCTTCCCCTTCCCTCCCCTCCCCTCCCCTCCCCTTCCCCTCCTTTGCCCTTCCCTCCCCTCTCCCTTCCCTCCCCCTCCCCTCCCCTTCCCCTTCCCCTCCCCTTCCCTCCCCTTCCCTCCCCTCCCCTCCCCTCCCTTCCCCCTCCCCTTCCCCTTCCCCTCCCTTCCCTCCCCCTCCCCTCCCCTTCCCCTCCTTTGCCCTTCCCTCCCCTCTCCCTTCCCCCCCCCTCCCCTCCCCTCCCCCTCCCCGCCCCCCCCCTCCCCTCCCCTCCCCTCTCCCTTCCCTCCCCCTCCCCTCCCCTCCCCTTCCCCTCCCCTCTCCCTCCCCTCCCCTCCCCTTCCCCTCCTTTGCCCTTCCCTCCCCTCTCCCTTCCCTCCCCCTCCCCTCCCCCCTCCCCTCCCCTTCCCCTTCCCCTCCCCTTCCCCTTCCCTCCCCTCCCCTCCCCTTCCCCTCCTTTGCCCTTCCCTCCCTCTCCCTTCCCTCCCCTCCCCTCCCCTTCCCCTCCTTTGCCCTTCCCTCCCTCTCCCTTCCCTCCCCCTCCCCTCCCCTTCCCCTTCCCCTCCCCTTCCCTCCCCTCCCCTCCCCTCCCCTTCCCCTCCCCTTCCCCTTCCCTTCCCTCCCCTCCCCTTCCCCTCCTTTGCCCTTCCCTCCCCTCTCCCTTCCCTCCCCCTCCCCTCCCCTTCCCCTCCCCTCCCCTCCCCTTCCCCTCCCCTCCCTTCCCCTCCCCTCCCCTCCCCCACCCCTCCCCTCTCCCTTCCCTCCCCTCCCCTCCCCTCCCCTCTCCCTTCCCTCCCCTGTCCCTCCCCTCCCCTCCCCTCCCCTCCCCCCCCCCTTGATGGATTCCTCTACCTTGCTGCATTGCCACAGTTCAAGGATCCCCTGTGGTCATGGGTTCATGTCCTAGGTGTTCCGCTTCCCATCCAGCTCCCTGCTTGTGACCTGGGAAAGCAGATCAGGATGGCCCAAAGCTTTGTGACCCTACAACTGTGTGGGAGACCCAGAGAAGGCTCCTGGGCCCTGGCTTTGGATCTACTTAGCTCTGCTCATTGCAGCCACTTGGGGAATAAACCAGTGGATGAAAGATCTTTCTGTCTCTCCCTCTGTAAATCTGACTTTCCAATAAAGATAAGTAAATCTTAATAAACAAACAGAAAAGCAAAAAACATGTTTTATAGAGGCTAAGTACCACTGCGGGGAGCACATCCATATCCCATGTTCCAGGTCTTGTGCTGGAGTCCTGGCTCTGCCGCTTATTCCAGTCCTGTGCTGGTATGTACTGGGAGGTCCAGCTCTCTGGGTTGCTCCATTCACACACCGACGTGTGACTTGAGCCCTAGCACCTGGCCTGCACATGGTCCATTTCTGGCTGTTGAAGGTATTTGGGAACTGAACCATGAGTGGCATTCTCTTTTTCTCTACCTTTTAAGTAAGATTTCTTCTTTTTTTAAGAATAAAAACATTTGAGAGAAGATTTACACACTTGGGAATTTGGTGCAGCAGGTGAGCCAGAGGTGCTCAGAGTGAAGGCCTAGGTCTGCATATGGTGTCAACGTCTTCCTGTCATGCATCGTGGCAGGTGGCAGGCTGGCTCAGCTGCTTGAGTCCTTGCTGGGATCCCTGGATTGAGCGTCTGGCTTGGATCTGGACTGCTCCTAGATGTTGTAGACAGTTGGGAGTGCCTCAACTTCTTTCTCTGCCTCTGAAATTAAAAAAAAAAAAATTAAATGTAAGATTTATATACACTTGAACAACAAAATTCTGAAAGAAAAGAGGTGAAGGGGAATTCCCTTTATTTTTAATAGGGAGAATCAAGACACTTTTAAAAAATGCATATTTCTTTATTTGAAAGCCAGATGGCACACAGAGAGCGTGATCTTCCATGTATTTATTTAGTCCCCAAATGGCCACAAAGGGCTGGGTTAGGCTGAAGCCATGGGCCAGGACCCCCATCTTCATCTCCCACATGGGGAGCCATTTCTGATCCCAAGCGTGTTACCAGGAGGCTGGAACTGAAGCAAAGTGTCTGGGACTCAAGCCAGCACTCCCATATGGGATGCAGATGTTGCAAGCTTAACATTGCTGTGCCAGTTATTTTTATTTTGCTTTTGCCCGTACAGGTCAGGGAATATGTCTGGCCTTGTGATGTCTCAGGTGTATGGGGTTGATGCTGGGGCATGGTAAGCTGTGTAAACTGTGACCTAACACTAGAGTTCTGGGAATGTTTCCTGAGGAAATCAGCACTCTGGTGAGCTACAGGAACTTTTGATCCAGTAAATGTAGAGCTTTAAAAACTAAGAACAGAGACCAGCATTGTGTCTTGATGGGGGAAGCTGCCACCTGCAACACCAGCATCTTGCGTGGGTAGTGGCTTGAGTCCTGGCTGATCTGTCCTGATTCAGCTCCCTAGGAAAAGATTCTTGGTCCCCTACCACCCACATGGGAGACCCACATGAAGCTCTTGGCTTGTTTCCTGGCTGTGTGGCCATCTG